GGGAGGCGGTTAGGGCCCGGGCATGGCCGCGGGCAGGGCGCTGGGCGGCAGCCTCGTGCGCCCGCCGCCGCACTAACAATGTCAATCTAAAAACTAAGATGTACCTGATCCAAGCCATGGTCTTCTCAACTGCTTGCTATGCATCTGAAAACTGGACAGTGACTAAGGATGACAGAAGAATTGATTTGTGTTGAGTTTGAATTGACTTGCCTTTGAGTTGGGTTGCTGAAGAATACTGAACATACCAAGGACTGCCAAGAGAAAAAACGGGTCTGTCCTGGAAAGGGTGAAAGTGGAGTACTCCTTGGAAGCAAGGATAGTGAAACCCCATCTCACACACCTTGGGCATGTTGTCAGGCAGGTCCAGTCCTTGGAGAAGGTTGTCATGTTTGGAAAAGAACAAAGTCAGCACAAGAGAGAAAGACTTTCAAACAGTGACTGTGGCAATGAGGTTAGATTTGTTAGAGATAGTGAGGATGGCTCAGGATAGGGCAAAGTTCAGAGTCATTGTTCATAGGGTCACTATGAGTCCTAGTTGACTCGAGGGCACTTAACAATACTATCTCTTTTAGGAAGCCTCCTTAATCCAACACTTGACTCACTGAATTTTGGTTAGCCTGAGTCTTGGGCCTATCTTTCACTGTTTCCTAGGCAGGATTTCCAGCTCCCCCCCAGGCCATAAATAACCCAAGGGTGAGACCCATAGCTTCTGTTCCTCCTGCATCCATGACCAATTCTGTTTATACTGCCCTTGACAAATCACCTCTCTGGGAGTCAGATTCCTCCTCTATAAAACCAAGACTATCGTCCATAACTGTTAAGAACACTTTCAAGATTTAATTACATAACCTGTGTGAATTTACCTAGTTCAAAACCCAACAAGGTTGCTACTAGATAAATATAAATGGAATTATATTCAGGGAGATCTGGTAGTCTAGTGGTAAGGAGCGGTACTACCAACGAAGGCAGTGGTTTCGTGGACTGTAGCTCTACATAGTCATATCTCATCTCTCCTTAGTCTGTTAGCTCTCTGAAAATAAGGATTATATGTACCACTTAGAATACTACAGTTTTGATGCACACAAGGAACATACTAACTTTATGTAGAGCAAATGAATCAAGAGGTGAGGAGCTGGAAAGCAAGGGTGGTGATTACAGACTTACCTTTCTAGCTTTCTTGGCCTTGACCTTGGGCTGAGTATCCAGATTTTCCTGACTCTGAGAAGCTGCACCTTTAGGCTCAGAATCATCTGTGGGAGCCTGGGAAGCAGTAGCCTCAATATCCAGGGCCTTTGTATTGACCTGTGTATCAGCTACACAAATTACTTTTTTACTTTTGGCAGAGATAATTGGCGCAGCCTGTAAGTCAGCATTCTGCATCTTGGGGTCAGCTGTTGTATTCCTGTTTTCAGCTGCCTGAACCTGGGTACCAGAAGGCTGAGTGCCAAGTGAGACTTGAGTAATAGCTGCCTCCTGAGCCTGGTGGGCATCTGAGGCCCCTTTGGCCTTTGACATTTCTAGGGTGTTTGAGACTTTCAGGACTTTTGAGACTTTTGGCACCTTTGAGGCATTGGGCACCTCTGAGACTCCCAAGTTCTGGGTCACTGCCAGTAGAGTCTGCATCACCAAACTACTGTTCCCTTCTGAAGCTTCAGTCTGGAAGAAAAAGAAACAGAAAAACTCACAAGCCTCCTCCCCACCTCTAACTAGGCAAATAGCTCTAAATTCCCAGAGACACACTTCTCTGATATGTATTAACGATATATACCTGCAGTGTGCTCTGATCATCTCAACATAACAGTCTCCCCTGAGTAGGAACTTAGGGCCAAGGAGAGGTGATCCCCCCTCCCTTTCCCCCTCCCTTCACTGGAGGAGATGCGGAGGATGACAGAGTCAAGGCTGACAAGGATGGAATGGGAGGGGCCAAAGAAGTTGAGACATCAACAGGAACTAGAGAAGAAAAGATGCTGGGTAAAGAACAGACTGAAGGGCTTACCTGGAAGCGCCTTAGACTTGCACCTCTCTCTCTTGTGTCAGACATATCTCAAGTTGGCCTGGCAAGACAGCCTGAAGGGGAGAAGGCATAGGTCAAGGGAAATGTCCTAAATTTCCACTACCCTATTCTGCCTGGAGGCTGAACCCTTCTTAGGACTCCAATCTCAAGTCCTCCCCCACCTCCCATTCCCCAGTGACTGCACTCTCAAACACAGGAATCCAGTACCTAGGTCTTAATTCTCTACAACTCCACCTGACCTTCTTCAGAAAGACGTGCCAGCGCGGCAGCTTTATGAGCCCCGCCCCCTTTCCCAATGAAGCGCCAGCCAAAAGCCAATAGTGCGCATGCGTGCCTGTCACAGCGCCCATTTATTTGAGCCCCGCCTGCTTTCCCCACATCAGCCCTTTCTTTGATGTCCACCGTACGCATGCGCACTCATTCCCCCTAGCCTAGCTGGTGCCCTTCTGAATACAGCCCTGGCTAAAGATCCGTAGTGCGCATTGATTGTTGCCGTGTCCAGTTCCACCCTACCATTCTCTCCCACTCTTTCCTTCCCCAACAAGCCTCCCTCCCAACTCGTGCACTGCTTAGTGGTCCTACACTCCACCCAACTCACACTTACTGGACCGAGTCCACAGTGCTTACAGGCCCTGTCCTTTTCCCTAAAATGCCCCTTTTATCTCTCCCCGCAGCAATCTGGGTGAAGCACAATTTGATTCTGCGCCTTTCCTAATACACACCCTCCTCAAATTAGTACTGATTCCATCCTGGGTCCTGCCTATCACTTCTCTCCCTCCCAGCCAGATTGGATCTGTTCCTTTAAGGCAGAGTTTCTACAGCTTCCAAATCGTGAGTCGACCCCTACTGGGCTCCTACCTAAAACTGGGTCCATTGTTCATCTCGTCTTCCTATATAACCCTTACCCTGATAGGACTTCTGCTTTCTCCCTACCCTCTTCCAGCCGGAAGCTGTCCCTCCTCTTTCCGCCTTGCTAGAGTCCACAGTTTTAGCCTGTCTGCCCCTCCCCCTCCCAGCTCCATATTCCCTATTCCCTTTGCATTTTCTGTTTGCTTCACCAAATTCCCTAGTTCCAATCCAAACATTCTCCTCCTTGTTACCTCTGCACTTAACCCTTTTGCATTTCCTCTTGTCAGAATCTACATTCAGCAGTGGCAATCCCCGTCGCTCCAGTATCCACGATGCCCAGCTCATAAGCCAGGTTCACCCGCTGGCCTCTGCTTCCTGCTCCATACCTCCTACTACTAGTTGTTCTTTTTGTCTACATCCCACAAAAGGTCACCTCTTCCTTAGCTGCACTGGTGCAGTAAGAATGGCCCACCTACCTGGCAGAGTTGAAGGGGGCCAAAATTAAAGTCTGAATATCATGGGACCCAAATCACAACGCTTCTCACCTTGCCCTCAAGCGAGTGCAGAATGTGTCTTTCAGTCCCTCTTGAAGGCTCAGCTTCCTGGACTGGAGCTGCAGCTAGCCCTGCCCAGCCCCTTTCCACAACCCCCTGCCACCCCTCCCTCACCCTCTTCGGGGGTGGGGCAAAGGGGCCTGGCTCAGGGCTGCCAGACACTAAAACTCATGTTTATGTTGCTGTACCAGACCTGATCTAAAGCTCTTCCAACTAAAACGACCCCCCAGAGAGATAAATTAATTGAATTTATTGATTTTTATATTTTCAGTTTCTCTTATTACAAAGAGAACGTGCTGTGAAACTAAATAATTCAGACTGTGTAGTATACCAGTGAATGACTGTCCTTATCACCTAGACATATCCATTATTATTTTCCTATGCTCCTCAGGTTTTTCACAAACGACATATTATACCATTCTGTGGCCTGTTTTTTTCCTGACTGTATCGTCTGAATATTCAATGTTAATGCATATTTTTTTCTTAACTATAATATCTTTTTTTTTTCTGTTGTTGTTAAATTGCCATCCAGTTAAATGCCATACAACAGAAGGAAACACTGCCTGTCCTGTGCCATCCTCATTATCATTACTGTGTTTGAGTCCATGTTGCAGCAACTGTATCAATCCATCTAGCTGAACATTTCTTCTTTTTCACCGACCCTCTCATGGCCTAGTGGTAGCATGATGTCCTTCTGCAGGAACTGGTCCTTCCTGATAACGTGTCCAAAGTGTGTGAACAAGATTCTTGATCATTTTGGCTGCACTTCAAAGACAGGTTTGCTTGTTCTTCTGGCAGTCCATGGTATATTTGATATTCTTCCCCAACACATCAATTCTAAGGCATTAATACTTCTTTAATCTTTCTTATTCAATTTCCGGCATGTTTCACATGCTTCATATGCATGTGAAACATGCACATGAGACAATTGAAAATAGTTTGACTTGAGTCAGATACACCTAAGTCTTCAAAGTGAGTGAAATTTCAGGTGAGTGAAATATCTCAGTGACAAAAGGATGAATACTGCCTAATTCCACTGTTATAAAACAGGACTAACATGAGGGTTGGAGGGAAACTAAGAAAAGAAGGGATAAATAATGAATTGGAACAGATGAAGGGAAGAGCTGTTTTAAAGGAATATATCCTTAGGCGTTATTTTTATGGCAACAGTCCAGAATAAGAGGTGCATAGCAAAGTGGATTGGGGGCGGGGTGGGAGGGTGGAGGAGATTAGGTGACAGTGAATGAATTTTTTTTTAAAGTGAACTGGGTGCATCAGGGAAGAAAATGTGCAACAATGAATGAATGAAAATCCAACTTTTCTGTAAACTTTTGTTAAAATCACAATTTTTAAAAAAAAGAACAAAGAAGGGAGCTCTGGTGGCCTAGTGGCAAGACGCTGCACTGCAATCCCAGAGATACGCAGTTCAAATCCACCAGATGCTCTTCTGGAGAAGGAGGGGGCAATCTCCTGTACCAGTCAGATCTGATTTGACGGTACACATAAAAATAATACAATAAAAATGAAAAAAAAAGAAAAAAGAACAACAATAAATAACAAAAAAACCCAACAAAGTTATATCTTTGGTTTTAAACACTTTTAACAGTCTTTTACAGGTGATAAAAAGACTTTTACAGTCTTTTTAAAATTTTATTATTTTATGTGTGCGTACCATCAAATCAGTTCTGACTGGTACAGGAGGAGATTGCCCTTCCTTCTCCAGCAGAGCATCTGGTGGATTTGTACTATGTATCTCTGGGATTGCAGAGTGCAGCTTCTTGCCACTAGGCCACCAGAGAGAGCTTCCTGACTTTTATAGCAAATTTGCTCAAAGCAATATGTCATTGGGCATAGATTATGGAACCAAGTAAAATACTGTGGACAACTTCAATATTTTCTCCATTTGTCATGATGTTGCTTATTGGTCCAATTGTGTGAGGATTTTTGTCTTCTTAATGTCAATTTATGATCCATACTGAAGGCTGTAGTAAATGCTTCAAATCCTCTGCCCTTACAGCAAGCAGTGCTTGCTGATGAGTCTTTCTCAAATCTTGATGCTGCATTCTTCTAGCTTTCTGAATTGGTTGCTTAGCATACAGATTGAATAAGCAGGGTGAAACACACACCTTGAGACACATTTTTCCTGTTTTCAACCATGCAATATGCTCTTGTTTTGTCCAATATATCACAAGTTATTTAACCAAGTGCCGTAATCCACAGGGAATTGCGTTGTTAAAAGGCCATGCCTCTCTCGTGATTTGAATCTACCAGTAGCTCCATGAAAGAAAGATGGGACATCTCCTCCCATATGATTTATAGCCTCAGGAAACCTACTGGAGGGCAGGCTAAATTAGATCTGACTGGAGGCTAATGAGTTTTGAGTTTTGAGTATGCATGAACATTTATATTGTTTGTTTAATTTTTTTTACATTACAAATAATACTATCAGAACAGCATATCTGAATCTTCCTACAATTATGCTTATCACTGTAGCATAAATTTTTGAGGCAGAATTGTTAAATAAAATGCTAGAAAAATAGTTTCCATTTTGATATAAGATTTTCAGCCTTGCTCTCCAAAAGAATTAAACTGAGTATTACTCCCACCAACATTGTCTATCATATTTCCATGTCATATATATTACAAATACTTTGTTGTTTATGGTGTTTGTCATACATTTAAGTGTTAAATTAATTTTATTTTAATATAATTCATAAAAATAATCCCCCCAAAATTCTTGAAATAATATTTCCAGCAACAATGTCTCTCATATATGTATGCATCACATAAATTACCAATATTTTCATTTTATTTATGGTAATTTTTGCTGTATAAAAGAGTTTATTGTGTAGTAAAATATATCCTTTTCCTTATATCATATCTGGATTCTATAACAATCCTTGTTTTTTCCAAATACTTTTACTTTTATGCCTTTATTATTTACATTTAAATATTTGATTATTCCAAATTATTTAGTATAAAGAGTGAGGTAGGTGTTCGACTTTACTATTTCATGCAAATCATAATCACTTATCCCTATATCATATGCAAACCTGATCTCAAGATTTTCCTAAAATCTACCCGTGACTTCTTTTCTAGACTTTTCCTGTTGTTTTTCAAAGCACCGCCTGTACTCCAACCAAACAGAACACTTCAGTAGTATTAGATATACCCTGACTTTTCTTGCTCAGAAAGCCACATGAGATTTCTTTCTCAAAGTACACTCTCTACATCATCTGTTTGTACATCTATCTGTTATTTCTGTTACAATCCCCAGTATTTAGGTTCCACAAAATTTTTAGGCTCACTTGTGCCCTTAGAGGTTCCTGGGACAACTTGAAAGAATACAGAGCAAAGATGTCAAAACAAGCCTATCAGAGAGACATTCCCAAAGATTTTCAAATCCCTGTTGTTGTTAGATACCATCAAGTTGAGTACAACTCATAGAAACCCTATGAACAATTGATCTGAATACTGCTAATTAAAAACTTTCCCTACCCACTCTTAATTCCTTCACAAACACAATAATATAACTAAATCAAAACAACAATAACAACAAAAAACTCAGATCCAATGTCATTGTGTCAATTCCATAGTCACATGACAGAGCAGAACTGCCCCAGA